CCCCTCTGTGCCGGGCAAATCTTTATACCAAGGCAGTATTGGGAAAGATAAAATATGAAGATCATGAAGTTCGAACCGTCTTCTTTTTCGTGAATACCAATAACCAAAATTACCGAATATCATGTATGGTACATTGTATGGGTATTCATATGGCATAGCAATCTGATTTTTCGTTAATTTATACTTCCTATCAGCCTAAAATGAATTTGATACATTGAGCTTGAGAAGATAAAAAATTTAAATGCTGAATGAATTAAAAAAAATTAGTTCCATTAATATCTTTAATGGAATGAAAACTTACCACACGATATAGAATGTTTTTCTGATGTAATGCACAACACGTTATTGATAATGAATAAGTACTTGCAAAATAAACTCGGAAGAAATCCTGAATGGCACCTGTAAAAGTGGTATGTTTGAAAATGATTCGCATTCATTTAGATTTGAAAAAAGAAGCGAGTAACTTGAAGACACCTAATTCAAACATCTTCAATATAATTTAAATAGATATTAAATATACTAATACGTATATTAATTAACGAAATTGTTTAAAATTTTCAGAAAGCTATCTCAAGTTCTGGCCTGTTTGAATATAATTTCTCAGTGTTATAATAGCAAAATCCCCAGACTGAATCTCTTGGGAAACTGAAATACTCAGATATCAATTTCATTTCTACACCTAAGATAGTCTGATATTTCCGTCTTTGCTATATCATAAGCTCGATATAACGCACAAACTTGATGAGTTTTTTTAATCATAAAAACATGATATCCTTTAAGATATCATTTAAAATCAATTCTGGAAACTGACCATAAAGACCTGGAGCAACAGTGACGATATCTTGTTCAGTGATATTTAGCACTTCACGCTTTTCGGCTTCAAATTGCTCTACTTTATGCATGTGTTCCACAATAGGTTCAGCATTTTCATCACTTTCTATCAGCTTTTTCAAGTTACCCTAAAAATGATGGAATTTCAGAAAAATTATTAGAAAGACAATGCAGGTCAATCTCAACGTATTAAAACTTACAGTGTAATATGTCTGACACACCAATTCGAACAACTTTCGAGTTCTTTTTATCAGAAGATTTTGTTGCATATGATGAGCCATGTCTAACATAAGACCAATTTGTAGATTCGGTAATCTTTTCAACATTTCCAAATATTTTATAGTTAACTGAAAAGCAGTAAATTTCAAATTTACAACGATATACGTTAGCATTTTTCTACCAGTAATCAAAAGAAATTGAAATGCTCACATGAATTCGTGTAACGTCTCGTCTATTCCTGTAGCAATCAAATGCTCGCTCTATACACCACTCATTCTGCAACAGTAAACTTGGAAAGCTAGTTATTTCTCTGAAAATTTTCAAATATTCAGTAAAATATTCTGTTTTTTTCTTCTAGAGAAAAAACATTAGAAGTTCGCAACAATTTACCGGAGCCCAAGGAAGCGAATCTAGATTCCCAATTACCAATACATCCTCTTCAACTTTCTCCTGTGGCGGTGGTTTCAATCTTGCCCTAAAAATAAACGAAAATTAACTTATCGATGAGTTAGAAGAAAAATATTTGACTAGTACTTAAAGGCATAATAATCAGCATCTTTACTACTTATTTCAAACCACAAAAATTTCTCTTCCAAACCAAAAAATAAACTCTAAAATAAAATTATTTCTCTTTACAAAATAATATTGAACACTTTAATATTATTATATTTCTCCACATTTACTAACCATACTGTTTTAACAGCTTTCATCTCTGAATCCCAGGCATAACATTCGCGACAAATTTTATCATATTCGTACTGGAACGACGCATCAAAATAATCATTTTCGATAAGAACCGGTAAGCGTGGTCGGAATACATACTTTGATCGTACCTCCTTTTCTTGCTCATCTTTCTTATTTTCATTTTCAAATCGTAACCGATCATTAATTGCATAGCTTGAACTATATGGACAGCAGTGCAGCATAGATCTCACATGCCTAAGCAAAGAACCTGAAATTGTTTTAATAACATTCTCTTCAAGTCATTTACTAAAGTAACACTGAACACTTCGGTACCATAACATTTGTATTTTACTGATATTATAATTTTATAAAAACTAGATGGACGGATTAATTTGTTTTAAAAACCTAAAATTTTCAAATCAATCCACATTACATAACTCTTTTTCGAAATAATTCACATAAACTATTCCAACAATTTCTAGAAACACACCGAATATTCGAACCCTACTTAATGTCATTTCTTTATCATAGATTGAATTCCACCTGAAGAAACCTGAAACACAAAATAATTAGAAGAAGGAATAACAAATGGTGACCCGCGATTTTGAAAATCCAGATTCCTTGATTCCAAAAAAAAAAAAAATCTAATAAAACATTATTCGATTAATTCAAATTCCTCAAAAATTTCGGCTTAAAACTGCCTAACAAAGATGCCTGGGCAATAAAGCAATTGAACTTTGTAATAAGAATGAAAGAATTAGTTCACACTTTGTAATAAGAATGAAAGAATTAATTCACCGTTATATTAATGAGACAAATCTTCAACTATATGTCAATACCAATGAAAAAAACTATGTCTGTGACACATAGAAATTGAAAATTTAAGAAAAAATTTTTCAAATACTGAAACACATATATATATAAAATCATTTGAATAATAAATTAATAATTCAAGATAAAATACAAAATTGGTTGATGTCAACTTCAACAAAAAAGTGCAGGAGTGTTTTTTTTTTTTTTTGTGCTTTAATGAAATACGAAAAATTTAAAACATACTAGGGATATTTTACCATTCTATCAAAAAAAAAACTCAAGAAATGTTCCTTTGCAAATAAACGCTTTGCATCCTGAACAATTACTAAAATATTTTTGAAAAAAAAATGAAATAATCACTATTTAAATTTGATATTTGTAAAAGGAAATGTAAAAATATGTGAGCATTTACACATCTAAAACTACCCAGAAAAGTGGAGTGGATATTAATAGCTATAAAGTGTATTTTAAATACATAAGGATCAAACAGGTTAGTTGAAAAAATTCATTAAATGCATAGAAAATCACTTCTGTGTAACATAAAGTTAATGTTATAACTACTCCAAAGATATTTAAAGACAATCAGTTCCTCCAGTTTTTTACAAATCATACTGCACTGCTTATTCTAGCCACACGAACACCGGTAAAACTGTAGACCAATTAACAACCTTGCCATACTGACACTTTGATATGAAAACCAAATCCAATTTACAAAAGGAAAAATATCATAAAAACATTTCAAGAAACTGCTTTTTTGCTCTGAAATCTTCTTAATAATTTTGTAAAGCCACTTATTCATTTTTTCAACAAAGGATAACAGAGCAACAAGTGCTGCAATAAGGAAATAGTAATTTATCAACAGATGATTCCAAACGTACCCATTCCAACTGCAGTAACATAACTCGTTATACTATATCTCTAATTACCGTACAGCGCTATAAAAATACACCTAGGATATAAAATCCGAAACATATATTAATTTAACATTAATCTAGTTCAAGAGCAACATTTTAATAAGGATCACACTACTCCTACCTCACGTCTGGTTTACGTTGCTTACGCTCCAAGTAGCAATTAAGTAATTAAGTATGATCGTGTCAAAAGGGAATCAATGCAAAAATTATAAGCGAAAAAATCATCATCACCAATCATCATTCATCACCAACCATCACCATCATCATCATTACCATCCTTATCATGATTATTATCATCAATATCATTCATCATTATCATTACCATCCTTGTCATGATTATCATCATCATCACCAAACATCACTATCATCATCAACCATCATCGATTTTCATCATCGTCATCATTACCATCCTTGTCATGATTATCATCATCACCATCATTAATTTTTCTTTTACCTGGGAGCACTAATCCTTCTTATAGATATACTACGGTCGATCTCTGATTATGACTTCGAATGGATTACACAGTCTCAACAAAGAAATAAATGAATGACATATATATTTGTTAGAGTTATCGATTCAATTTCTGTGCTGAATTTTTGCAGATCAGTAACTAGGTTGAAATTGTCTATAAAAAATTATCTCAAAAGCATTTTATTGCAATCAGAAACTAATTGGGTTGTTAATATAGCGTTGGTTTAATGAATATAGTTCAATAAAATTTCAAATTCTGAGTGATTCGAAAACGTTTCAAATAATAGTTTAAGAAAAGTAAATGACATGAAAAGTGGTCCCTTAAGATTTGAGAGATTTCTAGCTGGCGCCATACTTGCAGGTTCTTCAAGAATGATTTTAACTTATAATAGTGTGATAGAGGTGTGGAATCACTTTATAATAATTAAATGAATAATAACAGTTCTGAAATTTTTATTACTTGTGTTCTTCAAAAGGCTATCTCACCTAAGCAATTATTACTCCAACACTTATGTAAGCCCATTGCTTATCTGTTTGTTTAGAAATTTTTAACTGTCAACAAAAAGTATGTGCATTAATATGTGGTTTGCAATGTTCAAATGTCGTAAAGGTTTTCTAGGCAAACAGTCATTCTTATGAGATGAGAAACTGACAGTATATATGAAGTGTAAAGATCATCTGATAGCTCTTTACTCAATATAATCATACTCTTGTTATTGGAATATAAGGATTTAAATTCCTTGTCTTTGGTAAGTTTTCTTGTATCAACAAGTTACATTGCTCTCTCACATTCGTTTAATTCAGTTCATTGAAATGTTTTACTTTCCTCATCTAATTATCATTTATCTTCATAGATACTTTACCAAAATACCACTTTATTATTGCTAGCAAATAAAATCATTACAATAGGCCTTTCACTCAATGCATTCGTCTGTGCCAACCGCAATAAAACACAATGGAAGCTGTTGAGCACACGATAGTCTAACTCGACTCTCAAATTTTCGACAAATTTCACAACTCTATCAACACTTTTATTCTACAACTAACATACTACGGAGAACAACAAATTAGATGCATGTATCCGGCGCATTCGTCATGTGATCGCAAACTTTGATTGCGTCATTGAAGAAAGTGGTCGCTGGACATTGCATCACATATGCAATGTTATTTGCGCATTGAATAAACAAATGGCAATCAGTAGGATGCGGGAACAAACCGTCACGTTCTGGACATTCCTGACCTGAAATGGATTTCAATCCACTGTATGATTGATAACATTTTTGAGAAAGAAAATAATAAAGTCCTAACCGGAAATATCACATATAATTCCAGAAAGCTCCAAGAAAATCAATAAAATAGTTGTACATTTTATTAAACATTCATTTTCAATTAATCGATTTATATCCAAAACAACAACAAATCAGAAATCCTTGCGAAATGAAACCTGTAAATTGACATGTGTCCTGTCAAAAAAGCATAAAACTAATTAAGCACAGAAATTTAGGTGACCAATGAAAGCACCATGACACTATCAAAAATTATGGGAGAGCAAAATTTCCTCCTCAACTCAACGCTCTGTCATGCGGTTAGTAAGCGATTTATTGGACAGTATTCAATTACAAAATGAGCAACAAACAAATCCTTGAAAAGACAAACTTTTTAGGAATTCATATTTCTTCCTGCGTTAGTACAAAATTTCTATTAAGTGAACGAAATTTCCATTAATCTGAAATTAAGAACTTCAATTCTACATATTTCAGTCAGATTAAATAAAAAACAAAACACATAGACTGTTTATATATGTTTATACATTTACTGCTTGTATCCTCAATTTCACTCAACTGATCGAAATCAATGAACTGTGAAGGATCAGACGAAATTCTGAATTCAATAATGGTTCGAAATTGTTATAACCGACGATATCAAAGCTATTTGAGATGCCCGAAAAAGTATTAATTGTAACGGTTTCATATAGTGAAAAACATTGTGAAACAGAATTTTGTAAAATAAAAGAAATGCTCAAATGGAAGCTTTTTATTTTAGATTTGTTAAATTAAAGCTATCAAAGATTAAACAGTTTTTAATCTGCCCAGTTCGTACTGTTTATATTTTTTCTCTTAAATTCTTGATTTCCTCTTTCCCAACTGGCAACTTATGAAAAACTTTTGAAGTTACTACAGTATCAGTCTACACTCTGCAAAAAAAAAAAGAAAAAAAAAAAAAACAAATTTATGCTGTAAAAACAAATCTAGAATTTCTTTCTTACTTCCCTGCTTCCTTGCGAAACAAAGTAGTTTTCCCTTTCTTGATAGTTCAGATCGTTGACTTCTTTATCTTCGATACTGGTAGATTCTCGAATCTGTACTAATTCCATTCTGTGTACGTGTACTGTGGGAGTCCTCGTGAAATACTTTATTATTCAAACCTCAAACTTGGGTAATTAAACCACAGATAACATTAAATATTATACAAAATTACAATAATGAATTGATATCTAACACACAAATGTAACTTAATTATAAACCATTAAAGATATAAGCAAGCTAGACACCTCGCAACCGAGTCACACCAAACAAGGAACTATAATGAATGGCTTTGTAAGGAAAAAAATTTCTATAGATGCTAAGGTTACAAAGTAGATTAAAATCATTTAAAACAATAGTCTTTGTTCACTATGTTACAGCTTCGCATTGTGGCGACAGATGCATTACTGTAGTATATTACTAACTGCATCGCTACGGTATCGTTGTATATTACTGATAGATCACGATAATATCATTATAAATCACTATAATTGCTTATTACATTTGCTGTTGGATGCATCATTGTAGGGTTCTATTACTAACCTCATCACTATATTGTCATTATTGTACTATCGTTTTACTTTACTAATTGCACCACTATATTGTCGTTGCGTATTACTTCTCTTAGTGTGTTCTTATACTTTCTTTATCAATAATTTAAGTAGAACAGTTCGAGAATTCGAAGCTAATTTCTCTGAATGCTAATTCCTTCTTTTTGTTATTTGTTTTAAATGGTAGTTTGAAACTATATTAAAGATTTAGTATAATTAGACTTTTTGAATATAAGCCTGGAACAGTTGTATTTCACTGGCTTTACTTCATGAAGAAAATGAAATAGCTCTCATGAAAATTCGGCAAAATTTTAAAATGCCTTATTCTAAGCCGTTATTTAAAAACAAATTTAAATTAAAAAATATCAGATATTTATATCGTTGTATTTTTCATTTTAAATCACATATTTGCACTGATTCATATCGTCAAGCTTAAAATATTTCAATGCCATTACAATCTAATTCATATATTATAAATTCCATACTCACGAATTACACTTAGAACTAGATGATATTTCATTATATCAAACTTTCACGAATAATGATGGAAGTGTTTAATTTAATGAATTAAGTTGTAAATAGAGTAAAATATGTAACTTATTGCAGTACTTTAAGGAAATCAGAAATAATTTTTTTCTGGAAAAAATTTTGCAGAATAACATTTTCACCGATATAATTAATGAAGTTGGTTTATTTGAAAGCTATAATTAAATCTGAAATTAGATGTAAAGCTGGATTTAAAGAAGATGTTGTAAATCTGATTTTCAGTTTTATTGTTTCAAGTTTATTATTGAGTTTCATTTGAGATTTGTCATTTGCTAAAAACTAAAAACTGTCCTTTTTTCTTTTTACAAATATCACACTTTCAATTGGACTGTATCTTTTATTAATACTTCTCTGTATAAATTATAGCGTTTTGAGTTTAATCTATGAACTGGTAGTATCAGAGTAGTCATTATTCATTTGATAATTTATTGTATTGCTTAAATATTCGCGTACAATTTTAATTCTTACAAAAAAATTAAAATTTCTTTATTACAACGTCGCTTTTTCTTTTCCTTTTCTGAATTCCTATCAATTGTATTATTCATTTGTTGCTTATTTTAAACACTTTTTTTGCTTCCTAAAATTTTTTCATTTTAGTTTTTTTGTCTCTTTTATTTTACTGTAAAAAGAACAAGTGTGGTAGAGGAAAGAGAAAAGAGAGAAATAGAATGCGTAAAGAGAAAAGGGGAAAAAATATTTTTGATAGAAGCAACTGACGCAATTGATCTTTGGTAAATCCTTCCACCGATCAGTCTCTTTCCCGATGAAAAAAATGGAACTGTTGGGAAGAGATTCTCGTTGGGAATACTCTTCTGGCAATTTAACCAATGGGAAGGGAGGAAGGGGAGAGAGGAGTGGATGAGCAGTGTAAATGAACGACAATGTCGTGAGGTAAAGTAGATTAATGGACAAATAGTTGAATGCGACAGGATGAACAGAGGACAAGGCGGAGAGGTACGAGGCGCAAAGGTTCACACGGTGAGCTAAAAGGGATGGTCTGGTCAATGATCAACGTGACATAACTTGTACGCCCAATCATGCAGAATAAATTGATCTTTCATCAAATAAAGTAGCAGTCTTTCATTCTTTTGGAACGTATTTACAGCTATTTTACTACTTTTTTTTTGAAAAATTTTTGCAATATTTGATGATTTGAAATGTTAGTCGGATAATTTTTTGATTTAATATTTAAATTTGAAAGTTTTTTGCTTTTATTTTTGAATTTGAAAGATTGGAAGGTTGCCTTTTTTGCTTACTTGCATTATTATGCAAACAGAGAGATTTTTTTCTCTTTTTGAAGCTTATGATGATTGTTTGCTTTTCATCTATTTCCCAGCTGTTGCATTAATTAGCAATAATTATCAGTCAGTTGATAATAATTATCACTAAGCAGTTTTTCGATGATACAGCAAATAAATTTTTTACAGTTTTTCCAATTGAATAATTTCATTTTTTTTTTAAGAAATTTTAGTAGTTATCATTTAAAATTTCATTAGTGGAATAGAATTTTCTTTTGAGGCATTTAAAAACTATTAATGTTTCAATCTCATTTAAAGACTATAAATGTTGCAAACTGCAAATTTTAAAATATAATTGTTGATTTGAAAGTGAAGAATAAAAAAACTTAAAATTGATAAAAAAGATCAGTTGAGTTTTGCTTTTAAATTCAATTTTAGTTCATAAACTGACTCCTACATAACATCAAAAAGACAGAGGAAATTATTTTTGCCGGCAAATAAAATCCAGTAAATAAAATTTTCTTCCATTTGTAATATTTCTCCACTCCTCCCTCCCTTCCATCAACTTTCTTCTTGCATCCCTTCATTCCGTTAGTTACCGATTTTACTGCAAATCTTTTTTTAATGATAAGATTGATTAAACTTAAATCACTTGAATACTAATTGGTTGATTCATCGCCAATTGTCCGAAGATAACTGATCAATGTAATTGGAAATTTTTTTATTAAAATAGAAAAGAAATATCCCTGTGATTCCTTTGTTTTTCCAGTATTCTTCAAGTTATCATCCTACTTTTTTCATTTTTCTTTTCCACCTAACTGCAGTCTTTTTCTCTTTTTGTTTTAATGATAAGATTAAATGAGTAGAGATAATAGCACATTTCATTTTAATTATCACTCACTCAATTTTGTCATTTAAATAATTAAATGTTGTGCTAAAATTTTACAAAAAAAAGAAGAAATGATAGCGATATTCTATTAAAATATGACTGCTACATGGAGTGCATCTCTTAATTTTGAAAACAAATATAAAATAAAAGTTTTCTTTGTTTTATCTTTTAACAAAACAAAAAAAAGTAAATAAATATTTTTATCATTTACTGTCATTTAAATCATTTTTGAAACCAAAAAAAAATTTCCAATTTTTACATTTTTCAGAATGGCAAAATTTTTCTGGTAATAATTTTAATTTAATACTTGAAATCCTTGCAGTTCATGTGTATGTTCCTAAATAGGAGGTCAAATTTGTATTTCAGTGTGGTATTTCGTTATATTTGGATTAAAATGTAAATTGGTTCCGTGTCAATAAGTTTTCGATAAATTTGGTCTTTTAATTAACTTTTAATTACTTTTAATCAATTATCGTTATGTGAATGGCTTTAGTCAGTGATTTCTGATGTCTTTCCAGTCGATTTCTATTTTTCATTCAATTGTATAAAATTTGTATTTACATTTGTCCATTTCATATTATCTCCTTAAAAATCTTCATTTATAGTAATTCGAAAAATTTCAAAAATTTCAAATTAATCCTTAAATTATGATGCATTCGATTAATCCATTTAATTTTTTGCTACTTTCTCAAACTATTATTATGCATTAACCTCTCAATAATGATTAGTGACATATTTCGTTTCTACTAATTAATTAACTTTTTCTTTTCACTGCGTAATATTCATATTCATTTTAAACAAATCGCTTCAAATACTATAACATAAGCAATAGCAAAAAATGATTGATCGACAATTCTGATATGTAATACAAATTCCAATGCAAAATTTTCACTAAATTAATTTTCGTTTTTTTTTTTTTTCTTTTTCTTTCAATCATCAATTTTACTTTGTGTTTTGAAGTTGAAACTATGCAAATTTTTCATCAAAATTCAAATAACCATCTTAATTTATTAACTTATGCATATTGCTATAATTTTATTAAAAATCTTGTTTATTTATAGCTTTTAAGAACTTTCTTTCACTGAAATAATTTTTTTCATTCTTTACCACAACTTAAATTCATAATTAGTCGATTACTTTCAGTGAGATTCAACAACTAACGACCGATATCATCCGCATGATAATAGGTGATTATTACTGGTTTAATTTTAATAATCACAACAGATTAAAACAAAACAACAGAAAATGAAAAGAATAATAATGAATATGTTGCAAAACTAAGTTTTGTAATTAATTTTCAAATACTCTAAATTAGATAATTAAAAGTCATTATTTTAATATTAAAATACTAACTTTAGTATTAAAATACTAACTTTAATTTTTGGCAATGTATTTTTTTACAACTTAACAATCAAAAAAAAAATATTTTTATTAAATAAATTTTGAATTATATGTAAAAGATGAAAGTTGATACTGTTTGGTTGTTTTCCTAGCATTTTTAAAGGTTATAATGGGAAAAATCTCAAGTAATCAATAATAATAATAGTAAATGTAATAGTTTATCAGTGATTTATCTGTATGGATCATAAGTTAGAAAATGTGAAACAGAGCACAACTGATAATTCTGATACAGCATTATCAGTTAAGTTCTGCTCTCTTCTTTACTTCCCGAAAATTTCATTTTGGTTTTTACTGCTGCGTAAAGGATATTTGTGCTATCGTTTTATGATCCTTCCGTAAAACACTTCACTTCAGGGAATGATTACATGTTGTAAGTAATTTGTCGTTTAAGTATTACTAATTGTGATATTGTAGGAAGTAGCGCAACAATTATTATCGTTTCAGAA